AGCAACTGGTGTGCTATTCTGTTATTATTCGATCGTTAGATCCGGATTCGATTTTTAGTTATGTCCACTTCGTGGATTAAATGCACCCAAAAATTTTATTACTTTTTTGAGATATGACGATTTTAAAAAAGTCATGTAACTGCCGCACTTAAAATTGACCAATGGAATTGCGAGTAAGATTCTAAAGGATTTTTATAAAAAACTTGAAGTTTTTTTAATCGGACCTAGTTTTTTTATTATACCAATCATACTTGGACATTTAGTAAATGTTGTAGAGAAGTAAATTACGATTCCAATAGTAGTAAAGTCATCAAAATTGGCTCTGTATATCGTGAGATATGAGTAAAAAAAGTTTCGCGATTCTCAAAAATTTTTAAAAAACTTTGAAGAATCGCGAAACTTTTTTACTCATATCTTGCGATATACTGAGCCAAATTTGATGATCTTACCAACGTTGGAATCGCAATTTGCTTCTCTACAATCTTTGTTAAGCATTTAGATAAGGTTAATATAATAGAAAAATTGGTTTCGTTTAAGAAAACTTCAAGCTTTTTTTATAAATTTTTTAGAATTTTACTCGCAATCCCATTGGTCAATTTTTAAGTGCGGCAGTCACGTGATTTTTTTAGATATCTCCTCGTATCTCAAAAAAGTAAGGGCACATTTAGTATAGGTGCATAAGTTATATTCTTGATATTTACATAAATCATTAACTTTACTGCATCAAAAAAGTAACCATAACTGCATCAAGAAAGTAACTCTAACGCACACCGCTTTAAACGTCCCCTAAGAATGGCAATTTTGATTTTTTTTCTAGACTTTTTTTTTTTCTTACGAACATGGAACATTATAAACAAACCTACTTTTTTTCTTATCAATTAAAAGAAAAAAAATTACTTTCTTTCATGAAATCTTTTTTTCACAACATTATACATGTGCACACGCACGTATACAAAAAAAATTAAAATGAATTAATTCAGGTTGGACTATTTCGGTATTGCGACAATTAACCTTCTTGAGCAGGACATCGGTTCTGAAGCCATATGCTTCAACGGCTCGTTAGTTAATTTAATTTGATATGGCACGTGAAGATGACAAGATGAATGATTTAACTTTTTTTTCATAAGAATTTGATTTATTCGCTTTTTAAACCTAATCAAATATACTATCTTGGACATTCAAACATCGATAATTATAAAATAGTCAAGATCAAATGAGCATCCAAGTTAACTATATTAAGAATCTACAGTAGTCAATTAGATGTGATGCAAATATCAAATATATATATATAACCACTTTATCTGTTTTAGAAATAAGTAAAGTCGTTGAGAATTTAAGTAAAAATTACAAACATGATAAGCAGAAATTGATCGTTCTGTCGTTCTATAATTATAAAATATTATTTTGTCATGATGTAATGATATTACCACAAAATGACATCTTGATATTAAAAAATTGCATAATAATGATATTTTAGTCATATATATTTCTCAACTTTGATATTACTTTATTTCTTAGAAATTTTTCCATCATGATTAAACCCATAGAAGACAAGGACGAAATAATAAAAAACTCGATTAATTTTATTTGGAAAGCAACAAGTGGAAAAGCTGCCACTGTAATCTTTAATAATAATTCCTTACTCACAGCTACCCTTACTCTCAACGACGGAACGCCCAGTATAATAAACTTGGACGCACCAAGTTGTGTAATCATTAATAGAGAAAATTTTCTAAAGATCGTAAATCTTGCCGATGTAAATGAAATAACAATTGATGATGAAGACCACGAAGTAAAAAATATATTTACATTATGCTTAAATTTTTTCTAGAAAAATACTAATATAATGAAAATCTACAGGCCATTCAAACTGAAGATATGAATATCAATAGACAACCTAGTGATCTATCATTAGAAAGCATGGACATTCAAGGAAGTAA